TGGCTGACTGCGCGACAGCCATAATAATAATAAATGGTTGGTCGCACAGTCAGCCGGATGTTTAGACTGGATTTGGCATCTTTATCCACTCAAGTCCTTCCCAAGGACTTGGGATAGGCAATAACAACTCACAGCATGATTAAGCAATATATTTGAACTAATATTCAGTTCATCCCTTTCATTCTCATCCTGAAGATGGAGATGCGCGTTTGATGTGTGTTCAGAAAATCTATCCACGTGTGACAATTTTACCATCAGTTAATATGCTTATGCCACTGAGGTTTTGTTTCCATTCAAGCATAGTTGAGATTATTTAGAACTGATTCCCATCCAACACAGTGCTAGATATGCCAGCTTTTGAGTTAGATATAACCTCTCTGCAGTTCAGAAGCCTGCATATGCTGTGGCAGAATTGTGTTAGTGAAGGATGGCTGATTATCATTTTATAGTTAGTGTTTTTTGAGATCAGTTCAGCAATAGTTGTCAATAATAAATTTCTTTTTGACAGCTCTCTCTGCAATCAGTTAAGATAGCAGATGGATTTCCCTCAGAGGCTTTTTACATTATTAAATGGAAGCATTTCATATGCCAGCCTTAAATAAAGGCCATGACTGGGATTGAGGCAGTGATGTCACACAGTGAGAACTGAGTTATAATGGGGGAGGGGTTTTTAAAGCTTTTTTTTTTTAGCTGTGGAATACCAGAGATGGCCTACATGCATTTTTGTTTGGTCTTCTTTAAAATTGGCAGGGAATCATGTTCTGTGATTTGAGAGCTTTCTACCAGATTTAAGGGGTACAAATTCCGGAGGCTACAAAAAAGGGGCTGTGAGCCCAACCCTGCCCATTCTTGCTGTGATAATCACCAAGCTTTAAGATATAAGACATGACCCAACCATGATGATGTATTTGAGATCTCATTGACTTCAGTCAAAAATCAAGTCAGATGTTAAGAAAAGTGACTTGACTAGACAGTTCCATCTACCCCAGCTGTTCAGAAAGACAGCAGGCAAATGGAACCTCTGGAATTAGAAACATGTGGCTGAGTATGAAGCCATTGTGGAACAATACTGGAAATAGTTTTCATACCCAGCTTGTGGATTTCCTGGAAGGATTTGGCTGGCTACAATGGGAGCATTGCTGAAAACAAGTTTGCAAGCTTTCAAATTTTCCATTGAAATTGGGGTAATTTTGCAAAAAGCCTAACTAGAGATTTAAAAGCCAGCTCTAGTTTTTTGGGGAGGGTATCATGCATGTGGGCACCCTGTAGGATGACAGTGACCTAGTTCTGCAATTCTTTATCACCACTTTCTGATTCTGATTGCCTGGAACTCTACTGGGAGGGGAGTGATACGGATATTGCACTTTTCAGGGGAGCCCCAATATTCAGAGGCAATGATATTTTTCAGATTGTTTTCTTTTTAATCCTCCCTTTTGGTGATTTTCAAAGTCTGAGAAAGCTGCACTGTACCATTTTGAATAAAAAGGCTTTTTTTTTCCTGATCCGCTGCCATAAAACTTTGGATACCAAGAGATAGTTGGTTACACAGACCTCTTAAGCAAGTTATCTATCTGGCAGAATGCTTTTTAAATCTCTATTCATTTGCTAAAATGGATTTCATAGACTGCTTCCTTCTTCTGCATTCCTGCCAAGAAGATTCCAAACTGTGTTCCATATGCTGAAAAGAAGACAGAGCAGTGTAATTGGCAAAATTAGGGTCTGAGACTCAGGACACTTGTCTCTCTAGGGCTACATCTTGGACCTGCTGACTGATAAGATGCTAAAAGCTGAAAACTCCAAAGGATTCTTCATTGAAGGCTTCCCCCGAGAAATCAATCAAGCCAGGCTGTTTGAAGAAGTCGTAAGTATAGTCTGGGAGGGGGGATGTGAAAAGATGGCTTAGTTTACAGCAGAGCTGGGCAACCTGTAGCCTTTCCAATGTTGGGACTTCAGTCCACATCATTCCTCACTGATACTCATGTTCGTAGGCTTAGGAACTGACATCTTGCCATACCTGGCCTCAAGGGATGGGAGTTCTCCATAGGATATCATGAATTGGAGCAGGATTCACTGGATAAATGGGAACATGGAAGCAAATATTTGCTGGTAGTATATTGGTTGGCTGAACACAGGATGATTCTGTTTTAGCTCTAGGAAAGAACCCGAAATGGCTTAGTTTTGACCAAAAAAATCCATGTTAGATATTAATGAAAAGCAAGGATGTTAAGAGATGCAGATCCTGCTGCAGAAGTTGTAGAAGACTAGAGTAAGAAATGTGGTTCTGTTCAGTTCAATTAATTCTCACACTGCTCTCCCCCACTAATGGACATTTTCATATTGCCATTTCTAGGTCAGAAAGAAAACCTCAAATTTTTTAACTGTGAGGTACAAACCTTCTGAAAATGTTGTCACTGAGGTTAATCTTTTGATTTGCTCACAAACATCTGGCTATTTAATATAATTTATCAGTTAATCGGCAACAGATTAAGCCAAGTATGAGGTAAAGGCTGATGATAGATTATCTTATTTGCAAGTGGGACTTTGCAGGTTGTTAAGAAGACTTAGCTCCTATTGTCAGGATAATTCTCTAATCATTAATAAATCAAAATAAAAAATAATGGTATTTGGAAAAGGTCAGCAGAGACATAGATGGCGATTAGATGATGAAGTAATAGAGCAAGTGAAAGCCTTTCCTTACCTTGGGGTAATTTTTTCTGAGACTCGATCTTGGGTTTGCCATAATCAAAGGAGCTCACTTAGAGCAAGGGCACGTATGAATCCACTACTTAAATTAAAAACTCATAGCTATCCAGGGTCCTTGGCCCCGATAATTAAAGTATATAAAGCTAAGGTTATTCTTATGCTTTTATACGCAGCAGAAGTTGGGCTTAGATTCTACAACAATAATAGAACAAACACTATCACAGAATCTGAGAAGCATCCTGGGTCTAGATAAAAGGACTTCAGCTGCCGCAATTAGAGCTGAACTGTGAATTTACACAATCTATTCACAAACTAAAATTAGACCGTATAATTATTGGTGTAAAATTAATGAATGGAATCTGTTAGACTTCCAAGATTGTGTTTATTAGAACAGATAAAATCCCAACAACAGACCTCTTGGATCACACAACTGATAAATTATATAAGGAATTGTGATCTCCCAGTCTCTGATGCTCCTGGAGATCAAGCTAAAAAGAACGCTGTACAAAGAATTTTGAATATTGAAGTGCAAAAAGATATAGCCACCCTTAATAAGGTTGGCAGTTTGAAATGGCTAAGCCATTATAAACACACATTTCAAACTGATAATTATTTAAAAATACAAATGCCAAAACAACCCAAGCTAGATTTGATCAACTTGATACTATGGTCAGATATGAGATTTAACAGGATCCCTTATAATGAATGCATTTGTATATGTGGAACACCCGAAATTGAGGATATAGCACACGTACTATTTGACTGTAACTTGTATAAGACGGTGAGAGACTTGCATCTTGGTCCATATGTTAAATGAATGACCCACTGGGATTCACATATTAGAACATATTTTATGTGTGGTCAAAACCCAAAAATAACATATAACACAGATTTTTTTCTTAAGCAAATCAATGTGCTTGAGATCTACATATGTGGGGTCGACTGGAGTGAACTGCTGGGGTGATATGGAAACATGATTTGTATTTTCACTTATATGTATACCTACTTATACTTATTTACTCTATTTTTATTCACATTTTATTTTATCTGTTATATTAATTTTGTAAAGAGTTTTATTAATATTTAATGTTTAACTTTTATTTTGATAAGGCCTTAGGGCTAATCAATAAACTTTGAATTGAATTGAATTGAATTGAATATGAGGTAAATGCATTTATCCCTGCCCTGAAGCCAGCCCTGCTCAGGCATACTGTTAAATATTGTATTTAATACTTGTATTTTATATTTGTATGATTTATGTTTTTATTGATTTAAATTGTTTTGTTGTGAACCGCCCAGAGTCCCTCCTTATGGGAGAGTTGGGCAGTGATATAAATTTGATAAATAAATAAATAAATACTGCCCCATTCTGCACTTTCAAACATGTATTTGAAAGGTTTCTCAGTACCAGCCAGCCTCTTGCCAACAAGTTTTGAGTCAGCTTTTGCCTCTAAAACTTCAAATCAGGCAAACTGTCCCCCTTTTCTATATTCTTTTGCCACAGATATTCATAGCACCTTCCTCCTGAAATGGAACTACGGATTGATATTCTAAGCATTGACTTCTGACCATAGTCTCCTCCATTCCCATCTAAAAAAAGATTTCAGGTCAAGCATTGAACTGACCACCCTGTACCATTCACATTACAGGTGGGACGTTTGCCCAACATTGTTATAATGTTTGACTGCTCTACAGAGATTATGATCCAGCGGCTGATGATCAGAAGCCAACTGGGCCAAAGTGTGGATGACAATGAGAGAATTATCCGGCAGCGGCTTGAGACTCACTATACACTGTGTGAGCCTGTCCTCACCTACTACCTGCAGAAGAGCATTCTCCGAAATGTAGGTCTCTATCCTTGGCCCTTTCCCCCTGATTCCAGGCAAGGCAGGCCTAGCTGCTGGGATAGGATAACTCTGCTCAGTTTGGTTCTTTTAGCAACACTTTCTGACAAAGATGCTCTCTCTTGGCCATTAAGAGAGCCACATGTGAAGCTGGGCCCACCCAAAGAATAGCAATGAGAGAGGAAAAAAGGAGTATGTGACAGTTAAAATACAAAAATTAGAAAGCATACTAAGAAATGTGTAAAAGGTTGCTATTACATAGATTTGCAATTTACTCATATACTTGCATCATGGTGCACAAATTTGTACTTGGTTTGGGAAAAGCTGCACAAAACTATTCCCCACCCCCCACCCCCCCACATAGCACATCAGAAAACAGAATAAACATTGCTTAGGGGAAAATTAAATTTGCTGCCCTGGGTATATTGTATTAGAATAGTGTCTAGTTTTACTATTCTTAATAAGTATATATAGCGTATTAGAAATATGTGGCGGTATTGCAGATTTTAACTTGTATTTTGGCTCCCTATCTACCAGTGGGCGTTTCAGAAGAATCCTAAATGTTCAATTACATTTTCTTTAAGCATATTGCTTTTGATCCAGTAAAGGAAAAGCTCAATATAGAATTATTAAAATTATGAAAAAGGTAATTATTTTTCCCTTAGAATAGCTAAAATCTTTCTAGTTAACAGTTGCTGTGTCTTGAGAGCATAGCATTCCACATGAACATATCCCAATAATAGTTAATTTCATTATTTCTTAAAGCAAAATTATCACAGTGCATTCTAACCAGCTTTTACAAGTTCATTATGTTTTTATTCCTCTCAAGGTTGCCCAACAGAATTGACTGGAAATAGCTTCAGGATAAATAGAGAAAGCGCATAAGCCATTTCTTCATTGAAATCACATTTAGCATTGTAAATTAACTGTCATAAGGCAGGCTAATTTATGTGGTTTTTTTAAAGTTTGGCCATAACATCTTGGGGTAATCTCCATGTTCAGAAGAACATATTTCTCAGTATCCTGTAATGGTGAGGTTGCCTTAATGGATTATTTCCATATTTTTCAGCAGCATTTGAATAAACAGCAGTAGTCTATTCAAGCAGAGCTTTTTATTTAGGGCTGTTTGGACATCCCCAAATCTGTAACTCTATGAGCTAAGATAACCCTCAGTCTAAATTTAGGTATTATTAAAAGAAAAAGAGCTTAGAGAGGCTGGATCAGTCTAGATGAGTTATCTAAGAGCCCCATCACTGTTTTTGTATTTGCAGATCCTTGGGGAGGAACCCCCAGAAGTAGTCTTTGCCAAGTGCTGCAGTGTTGTTGATGATGTGATAAAAACAGCTATCTCAACCGTATAGCTATTTAGTTCCACAGAAAAATAAAAGATTTTAAGCTCTGGTCCATTATTATGCCCTCCTCAGAACTCTTTAAAAAAAAAAAATCAATTCTGGTTCACAACTGCATCTACCTCACTTGATAATTTGCAGCACAGTGAGTGAACAGAGTCCTTTTCAAAACTCCACTGTAATGATGATGTATTCAAACACCTATGTTAATCTACCTCCATCCTGCAGTCCCCAAGAAAAGCTATGACTGCAAATGCTTCTCAGTGAGCAAAATTCACTGCTGGCTAAAATATAACAGCTAATCAAGTTCACAAGCACAGAAAAAAGGGAAACTACGCAGCATATACGGAAGATGTGATCTATACTAGTAGTTCTAGTTTATTCCCTTAACTAGTACTGGGATTTTCTTTCTGGAATTCCTCAGTCAAGCATACATTCCCACTTGTTTAGTTTATCTCTAGAATCAGTGATTTGTATTTTCGAAGAGTGTCATCTCTCCAAGTGATTCTTCTGAGGTAGCAGAATTCCAGGATAAGACATTCTGGAAATTACTAAGCGGCCATAAAGATTTTCAGCTGGTGTTGACACATATTAGGAACATAAATAGATATAGTTGGGCACTTTCCCAGCACAACACTTTTGAATACCAATATACACTTTTCAAAGATCTGAGGTCACAAATGAGTATCAGCAGGAGATGCAGTAACATTTTAAAAACAGAACTGCTTATTTACCCATCACTTCCATTAAGTTATGACTAGTACCCATATCAGCAGTTATTTGAATGGCTTGCATTATAGCCACTCTTCACACTTCTTTCCCTTTCAACTCAAAAGAAAAAGTTCAGCATCTTGTAGTCCTCGGTCTAGATTTATACAGTCCTTGGTCTATTTTTAAAATCCCTCTGCAATATCAACTCAGACTTCAAAGAAATAATTTATCCTAGCCTATCATGGCAAGGGTGGAGATGGGCAGGGAAAGAGACCAAATGCTGAAGAAAATTACTCTTTAATGAGATGAGTACCCCTGTGTTTATTTCAAGTACCTTTCAGATTCTGCAAAGCATTTTAGACCAAATTATCCAAATGGATCCCACAATGAATAATCTGCTAGGGGGTTCCAGACATTGGTGCAAGATGCTGAAAAATTCACTTTTATAAAGTACCCCTCCCATACACTGATGCTTAAGGATGAAGCTGTTCCAAAACTTTACAGTGCAGTACATGCATTGAGTTTCAAGATCATCACAAGCCAAACCACAATTCAGTCTCTAGAACCTCATGAAGAAATAGCATGCCCCTGCTCACATCAAATATCTGATCCCCTTGCCCCAGCAACACTCAACCTTCTGGGACCTATTTTTGGAAACACACACAGTTGCATCAGAGACTTTAAAACAAAAAAGCATTTTATTCAACAAAAATGCACAAATGCCTGCTCAAACTATAAAAACACAGGAAGCTCTTAATTCATGACCATTATCAGGCTTTTACAACAGCTATATTGTGAACAAACATCAGCTTCAAAAAACCCTATAGACAGAGAGAGAAAGACAGACACCACCCAGCAGACACAGGGGGATGTTTTGTTATCATTTATTTGTGAAGTTAAAAACGAGCGGTAAAAAGTAAAAATTTGAGCATATAATTGTTTGTTCCAATTTCCTCTTGAACAGACAAAAACACGACAGATCAGTCCCAGCAGTGGAGAAATGGAAGGGCAGGGATGGGGTTGTCTGAAACACCAACACCTTTGTCCGAGGAATGTTCCAACTCTAACTAAAAAGCAGAGTGACTTTTCCTTGTAAAGTTTATTTTTAAAACAAAACAGAAAAGAAAAAGAAGTGTTACCCTGAAAACTGAGGTGCGTGTCAGGCAGGATGGGGTCTGGTGGAGGCGGTTTTAGTTGGCTATCTTCTACAGCTGCTGGCTCAACATTAGGATTGGAGATCTGGATTTATTTTAAGAGAGACGTGAAGGCGGCACGGCCAAGATTCCCAGAAGAAACCCAGCAATCAGAGCAAACAGGCCAGTTCCCTTCCCACCCTGCCACTTCCTGCAGCGGCAGCAGCAGCCGCCACCTCTCTCTCCAAAACAAAAGGTTCTCGGAGATGGGGAGGGTCACATTCAGCTCACTGAGCCTGTGGAAAGGAGAAAACACGACAGGAGTCTGTCACTGAAAAAGGAAATGAGAGAAGCTATTTACCCCATGGTTTCAGGTAGGAAACCTGCTTTGCTTTAGGACCCTTGAACATTACTGAATGTTTTTCCAGGTATAGTAATACAATACAGAAATAAAAACAGTACACACAGTAAAGGCGGCAGTGTATGCTTAATATACATGCCATTCTATCTTTCTACCCTATTACTAGCTCATCATTTGGTCTTATCCCAAGCGTCACCACCATTCAATTTAGCAATCAGCTGGGCAGCATGGAAACAAAATGAAACTGGTGTCCTCACGGAACTTCCTGTTCATCACCTGTCCACTGTTTATCAGGGAAACTGTGGAATACTCCAGTCCTCTTGTATTTTATAGGCCTATTTCCCTGGCCAGCCACGGAGACAACAGCTTCTCTCATCCCGAAGAAATGCCATGCAGAACATGAATAAGAAAAGGCCCTCAAGTTGAGAGTTTTGCTTATCTGGCAGCGACCTTCCTTACAGAATATGCTAGTGACATGAGCCTAGCAGTGGCTGGGTGCACTCTGCAATTCTACAAGCATATTCACAGAATTTAGTACAGGAGAAAAAAAAACAGCATACCTGAGAGCTCCTGCTTTCTGTTCTGAAAATAATGATCAAGTTTTCATGGTTGTGAAAATACATTTGTAAAACACATTTCAGGTATTTTGAATAAGAGGAAGGTCAGGCTTCTTCGAACCTTTGTACCAATGGCCAGCAAGGTGTATCTGTAGCCAACACGGGCATACTGGTTTGATCTACATGCAATCTATTCAGGCCTCACTTGGGGGGAAAAGAACCATAGGGTTCTGATTTATCCAAGCACATTACATTAATCCCGCCCATGAGCAAATGCTAGAAATGATGCGCATAGTCACTCTTTTCCTGGTGCAACCTACACTGGCAACTCAGCCTGATGGCAAGAAGGTTACCAATGTGAGCGCCAGTGATACCTTTATTTATTTATATTTATATAGCTGCCCCTCTTGTCAATGGATTGTTGCTGGTGCGAAAGGACAGAAAACTGGGTGCCTTGTGCCCCAGATGAAGTAAAAGTACCAAAATACTAAGCTAAACTCAAAAGTATATGCATAACAACTGCCCAGAGGGAAGAGATTACATCACAGAAGTCGGTTGCTAAGTTAAGCCCCAGACTGCTTCTTCACTCACCTGCTGTCCCTGCTGTGTGGGGGGTGGCACTGGTCCACCAGCACCAGGCGTCTGTCCATAATAGGCAGCTTGTTGTCTGTAGTATTCTGCCCATGCTGCACTATAGTCTGGTTGAGGTCCTGGTGGTGCTGCTGGCCCTGCCCCAGTCGCTACTTGAGCTGCTTCCAAAAAGAAAAGAGGGACTGGCTATCCCGTCCATGCCTATTCAGACATGCACACCCCGCTTGGTTCAATGCAGCTTACTCCCATATAAGAATACACAGAGCAACCAAAAACTTTTGAAGTAGGCATTCCAAACCCAATCCAATTTGCCCTACAAAGCCTTGTCTGTAGGATTCTGTTGTCTCACCTTGCTTCTTATAATACTCCTCCCAGGCTTTTGTGTAGTCCTGCTGGGGGGGAGCTCCAGGCTGCTGGGGCTGCTGGCCTGCAGGACAACAAAGTCAAAGGACAACAGGAGTTGGTCACACACAGCTTTTGACCCCCCAAGAGGCATTTCCCCCTACAGAATCCAGAACTTTAAAAGGAAGGTCTCAGTTGCCCATGGCACTAACTCCCAGCAGAGTCTCGGCAGTCAGCCAAAAATTATGGGTGCAAGAACCAAACAGGAGAGGCTGAAACCTTGAATTATTTCATACTGTGTTTCAGCCCTCTTAGAAGCAACACAAGACAGCTGGAGTTTATCATACTTCTGGAGCTATGGGAGAGATGCTCATCATTTATAAACTTATAACCAGGAATTATCACGTGCAGACATCCACTACCCAGCCTAGGACAAAGCAAGCCTAATGCTGACAAAAATATTGGGGAATCATCAGAATTATCCTGAAAGATGTGCCAACAAATATGGAATAATTAACAAACGTACAAAATCATGCTGCTCCATTAAAAACAAAACACAGATCAAGATCCCCAGTTATTAGGACCAAATTATATTGCTTTGTTTTCTAATGGGCACTTTATCAAAACTTTGCTTGTTCGCAAACAGAGCCTTGAGGTTTGTTGACATTCAAATTAAGTTTTTTCTGGCTAAAACAAATCACCCGATCCCCAGAAATGTTGATAAAGAAAATGAAGAGATTAATAGGCAGAGAAAAATCCTGAGAATCAAGTCATTGCCTACAATCCTAGCAATCAATCCACTAATGTTCTTTTCCAGCAAAAGAGAGGAGAAGCACCTGTAGAGTCAGTTACCCAGTTTTTTGTAGTACTCCTCCCACGCTTTAGTGTAGTCTGACTGTCCGGTGGGGGGTGGCTGGGGAGGCTCTCCTTGCACCGGTGGTGCAGTGGGGGCTGGCGGTGCTCCTGGAACTGGGCCAGGAGGCTGCTGGTAGTAGTGCGAGTAATATGCTGCCCAGGCAGCGTTGGGGTCTGCTGCTGCTGCTGCTTTACCTGGAAACATATGACAGTCTGAACACAAGTCCGGTGATTCCTGAAGCCACAACTGTAGTTTGTAATCCACTCTGATGACTAATAGTGAAGGGGTTGTTAACAACAACAACAAACCCTGACACATACTTACTTGGGTCATGAGGAGCAGGAGGTTGCCACTGTGGGTAGGC